GTGAAGGGAATGTTTCCCATCTGCGCTATCCAAACAGCAGCCACTAGCCATTGTTAATGTGGCTTGTGTGTGACCAGGGAACTGTATTATTTTATTCAATTTCAATTAATCCAGATTGAAATATTTTTCCTTTTTCGTTACTTCTGTCTTAATACTTTCATCCATTTCCCTCCCCCTCCCCTGTCTTCCATCCCTGGTAACCATAACTCTGCTCTCTTTCTCTGTGGGTTCGTGTGTGTGTGGGGGGGGGGGTAAGCTTTCACATATAAGTGAGATCATACTGTTTTTGTCTTTCTCTGACTTATTTCACTTAGCATGCTGCCTTCCAGGTCCATCCATGTTGTTACAAATGGCAGGGCTTCCCCTTTGTGGATGAGTGGTGTTCCCTTGTGTACATGCACACCTCATTTCCTTGTCCGTCCAAGCACTGGTGGACACTTAACATTGTGCCTGTGTTTAGGCTCTTGCGACTAATGCAGGAACATGGGTGCAGATAATTTTTCGAGACCGTGATTTCACTTCCTTGGGATGAATACCCAGAAGTGGGATTGCTGGGTCCTGTGGTAGTTTTACGTTTAATTTTTTGAGGAGCCTCCATACTGTTTTCCGCAGTGACCGCCCCTTGGACAGCCCAGCTCCAGAGCGTACCCTGCTATTGATTATTGTGTGGGTAAACTAACAGGCTTTTATTTATTTTTTAATGTTTTCTTTATTTCTGAGAGAAGGAGACAGAATGAACAGGGGAGGGTCAGAGAGAGAGGGAGACACAGAATCCAAAACAGGCTCCAGGCTCTGAGCTAACTGTCAGCACAGAGCCTGATGTGGGGCTCGAACCCATGAACTGTGAGATCATGACCTGAGCCGAAGTCAGACACTTAACCGACTGAGCCACCCAGGCGCCCCACTAACAGGCTTTTAAAAACAAGTTACTGGTTCTGGAGTTGTTAATTTTACATCCCCAAACAAAATGCTCCTCAGGTGAAGGTCCGATTGCTGTAACAATAGTTTGTTCTGGGGTTTCTGTTGCAGGAGGCAGCTGACGATTGCTAGCTAGTAGGTCAGTGTTTCTCAGAGTTGGAGTGCTCTGGCCCGTCCAGTGTGTCCAGCGAGTGCCTTGTGAGGATTCCTGCCAGAGGGCGCCTTTTAGGGGGTGTTAATGTCGGAGATTAGGCGGGACCCCTGCTGGCCCTGACTGGGGAGCCCACCTAGGGACTTGGGCTGCCTCTTAGGGCTGTTCCAAACTGCAGGGGCCCATTACTGAGTCTGGCTGGCACATGCCTCTCATGTGGAATAACGTTCAGGTTCTAGATTTAGGAGGCCTTGAAGGAAAAGAGGGTCCTGCTGGGCTCGTTAGTGTGGATTGTTATAACTGCCCGGAGAGAACTTGCGACTGGTCCCTGGGTTATAGCTCTTGGGGTGGCAGGACCACATCTTTGTCACCTTTGCCAGGATACGGCAGAAACTCTGGCCTGAGAGTGTTCCCAGCGGTCCTCTGATCCTGTGATGAAAGCAGAATGTGGCATTTAGGAGCCAGGGAATACCTGAGAGTGATCAGGGACCTCTCTCTCAAACGTGGCAACTGGAGTCTCAAAATCAAATAGCCGTTTTTGACAGAAAATGATGCTCCGTTCTCTGTCATAAGCAAAGTTCTACATGACTGAGCTTCCTAATTGAGGACCTTATTTGTTGCATTATTTAAATCCATATTGTTCATTTTCTTAATGCAGCTCTTTGGAAAATGGCAGAATGCTTAAGCTAGGTGGAAGAGAACCTACCAAGGGTCCCAGTCCAGCCAGGATGCCTGTGTCCACACAGCATACAGCCCCTCTCTTTCCCTTGTGTGCTGAGCCTCCATGTCTCCAGACTTTGTGCTCTGCTGAGGTCACAGTCACAAGCAGGACAGATCAGTGAAAAGGCATATTTCAAAGGCACAATAGGAATACACTGGGGCATCTGGGTGGCTCAGTCAGTTAAGCATCTGACTCTTGTTTTGGGCCCAGGTCATGATCTCACATTTTGTGAGTTCCAGCCCCACATGGGGCTCCACACTGACAGCTAGAACCTCCTTGGGATTCCTTCTCTCTCTCTCTCTGTCTCTCTCAAAATTAATAAGCCTTAAAAGGAAATCTATTGATGCTGACCATTCACTTATATTTTGAAATACTTTATGCCAATGTGTCGTGCAGAGATCTGGAAAAATTTCACTGGAATATTCTGACCAGTGACTTATTGCTACCATTTTTTCCCTAAAGGCTGCATTTGTTCATGTCATGTATGTGTAGAATTTAGTTATTGGACACCTCATATTGGTAACAGGTTACTTTTTTATGGTTTTAATGGTTTCATTAGAATTAGTTTTCCAAGCCCAAGGGCTGTTTCCCTTTATCAACTCTGAGACTCCTTTTGTAACTTACTTTCTTTAAATAGTTCACCTTTCTTACTTTATCCCAGAAATAGTGAAATGCTGGGTGTCAGAATTGTGGCTCTATACAAATCATAAGCACTCTCTAAATACTGGCCGAAAGAGTGGACGTTATTCCAGCCAGCAGGTCTGAATGTTAATTCCTTGTGATTTTTTACTATGGCCAGGTGGGGAGTGGGGACTCTAATTGAGAGAGAATATTAGCTGTGTAATATTTTTCCTTTTCTTGCTTGAATGGAGTCTCAACAATGAAATTCAAATGCATACAAAAGGCTGGGAGAAGTATAGTAAATTGAATGTAGGGTTATTGTTTGTGTCCACAAAACAAACCCCGAAATCACATTTAGCATAATTTGTGGTTTTAAATTGGACTGATTTAGCAAGGAGAGTGAAATAATCTCTCATCCTGTCAAAAAAGGCGATACCTTCAGACGAGCATTTAATTGCATTGGCAGAGTAACTTGGGGAAAGCAGCAGTAATTCTGGCTGCATTATTCTTGGTTTGTGGCTAAATTGAGATCATCATTTTCTCCTAGTTGCACTAACTTTCTTTATTGCTCTTCAGACTAATCAGATGAATGCCGTGAAAGAAGCTTAGTGGTAGCTGGAAGATGCACGGGGGCAAAAGGCTGAGGTCTCTGAGCAGGGATGACTAGCGGGGGAATAGTCCTTGGTAGAGCTGTGCCTTACACACCACACATTCTGGGGACAGAAGAGTAAGCTGACAGCAATCAGCACCTTAGTGGGTGCAGCTGAATGAACTTCTCTGTGATCATTTACGCAAAGCGAATACCGTTCATTCGCTGGAAAGTGTATCACCGACTAAATGTGCCTTTAAGGCCCAACTGTAAAGGTAGGGCTTATATGCATTCATGTTGATACGCAAGAGTGTACTTTCTGAAGGCTAATTTCCAGCTGCCTCAATTTTCCCGTGAAAACCCGCCCTTTCATCTCCTCCCCAAACCATCTACTTGAGTCACTAGTCCACGCCTTGTGCATTTTCCATCTGGACCGCTGCCACCTCCCAAGTGCCTGAATCCAGACTGATTCATATTCTTCACAGTCCGTTCCTCCAGTGAAAGCATTTCCCTTCCCTTCCCCAAGCCTTCTTCCTTCTAACGGAAGTCAGATCATCGATACCTTAGACGTTTTATGAAGCTGAAATTGAGGACTCAGAACTGTAACGAAGTGTGCCTGTCCTCCTTTACTGGTGCTCCGCTGGGAGTCACGCACCAGAGCTCTTGCAGCGGCTCCCTCCTTCGCTCTTTCAGATGTCTGTTTGGAGTCGGATGATACCTCTGTAGTGGTTCTAAGCAAAGGTGCTCCTGGTTTTTCCCAATCTTTCTAGCGCACCCTGGAGGGTGGTGTCAGGATGGGATGTAAAGGCATGGACGTTAAGACATGACACTTTGGTGCTGTGGCCCAAGGCCCATGTCCTTGATTTCAGTAACCTGGGTAGTCTTGGCCTCAGAGCTGATATGAACCATGGACAAGCCGATGGCCAGTATCAAATGTTGGTAGGAAGACTTGATCAGTGATGGGGATAAGGTACAATCTGTTACAAGTCTTCTGCTACCAATGGAGAGTTAGTACTTTTGAGGTAAAGATGCCTTTGGTCTTTAAGCTGATATTTGCAAATATATGCTCTAGGGAAGGAAGACTCTTTTAGGTCATCACTGGTTTATTTAACCCTTAGATCTGCATGCTGGTATTCTTATCATGCTACTGAGTTGGTTTTTCATATTTCTGTGTAGTAATAGTGCATTGGTCTGTTGCTAATCTGATATAAAGTGTGTGTGTGTGTGTGTGTGTGTGTGTGTGTACCAATCAAGGTGTAAAGGCCAGAAGCCAAAATCATAAAAGAGGTGGGTTGAATATTTCATCATTTAAGGTTGAACTTATATTGTGATTTAGTGCAGTATAAAGAGAACAGATCTTAATCAGTCACCTGGGTGGCTCAGTTGGTTAAATGTCTGACTGTTGATCTCGCCTCAGGTCATGATCTCAGGGTTCATGAGTTCGAGCCCTGTGTCGGGCTCTGTGCTGACAGTGGGGAGCCTGCTTAGGATTCTCTCTCTCCCCTCTCTCTCTGCTCCTACCCTGTTCATGTTTTATCTCTCTCAAAATAAATGAAAATAAACTTTAAAAAAAGAAAACAGCTCTTCAGATATCAGGTTATTAGAACAGCTTGATGAATGTATCATTAACCAGGAAGAGATCTGGAGTTTGCAGTCTTTCTTTAGATAGAGGTGCAAGGAAACCCAAAGGAAGAGAACATTCGTACTTATGAGACATAGTATGGCGATTATAAAAGAATTTATGCTTTGGAATATTCACCTGTGGGCTGTTAATGGCAGCCTGAAATTCTCTCTGCCCTTTAAAGAAGCGTTTTCATTTCTCCTTGATGTTAGTTGCGAACCTAAGAAAAACCTACAAAAAGTAAGATGTATATGTGAATCAGATGGTCATATTTCAGTTTTATCTCTCTTTCCTGGGCAAGACGAACACAATGTGTTGCTGGCGTTCCTTGCGCGGAGCGAGGTTTCTGTATTCACACGCAGCATCTTTGTTTCCGTAGCTGTGCCGCCAAACATAGCAGAACTAAAGAATCTGGAAGTGCTGAACTTCTTTAATAACCAGATTGAGGAGCTGCCCACACAGATCAGCAGCCTTCAGAAACTCAAACACCTGAACCTGGGGTGAGTATCCATGGAGGAACGGAAGATGGGGAATCGAAGGAGGGTGCATGCGGGCTGTGTGCATAGGAGGGAGCGTGTCTGTTTCTGACTTCTGATTGCTTGCTGTGTGCTAGGTAGGACTTCAGCAAAAGTTTTAGTACGTGTATTCAATGACCTGCATTAGTGCATATCTCTTTGAGAAGTAATTGAAAAACTAATTGTTGGTGCAGTGAGGAAGTGTTTTTTTGTTTGTTTTTTTTTTTATTATATTTGGTTTCCAACAAAATTTTATTTCCGTTACATAGACCAGAAAGGGACTTAATTGCATAACATTAACTGTTCAGACCGATTGTAATGTGGTTGATTTTTCTCTCTGTATTAAGTAGAAATTGTTTACGAAACGTCTTCCTTCTACAGAAGTGGGGCAGGGAGCGAAGATACATTTCCAAATGCTGCTTCATTGATTCTTAAAATTCTTTTACGCAGTCAAGAGGTTATAATCCTGTCTTTCTTTATACGAAGGTGAAGAGAGGAGGTTCGATTCAGCTGAGCTGGCAGAACCAGGTAGCAGTGAATAATAGTAATACATCTAATGCTTTACAGACTTCAGTGTCCTCATTTGAGGCCAGTATTTGACCCTCGCAATGTGTATGAGGGACGGTGGGCGGGCAGTAATTTTCATTTCATGGAGTGGAAGTCAGGCCCTTTCCGAGAGCTTCGGTGACTCATTCCTGATTGGCCCAGAGCTTCGTGACCGAGCCAGGCAAAGGACCCCGTTATCTGGGGTCCAGCTTGTCCCTGAGGCACCATGGATGCCACCAGAACATGGGCTTCTCAATCCCGGCCTCATTGTCACAGCTGTGAGATGAAGCTGCCCACATGTGCTTCATCTGCTGCATGAAGTTGTGTATTCATTAATTATAGCCATTAAATGCTTTAGTTAACTTAGTGATTTACATGGAGTGGTAATGGAAGCTGGCCAGGTATTTATCAATTTAATAGAAGCAATCATGAAAAAAAACAAAACAAAAAAACCTTATTCATGGAATTATTTTTAGTTGAGCTTATTCTTTCCAGGGAGAGTTTGGTTAGACACTCATTTGATGTTCAGTCTGGTTAGGATATAATCTTGGAAAGATCCATGAGCATTCTTTCTCCTAATGTCTGAGGGGAAGTAGAGTTTAAAAGAGGAGGGGAATATCACTTAAATCAGGTGGCTTTAACCCCTGCAAATACGGAGATTGTATGCCGGTCTGGTAAAACAGAAAAGAAAGGATCCCTCATCTATATCTTTGTTTTGAGAATCATTAAGTCCTGATGTTTAATTTGCATGTAAGCAAGAAGTTAAAACTAGGTGTATATACTAGACGTACAAAGCTAAGTAGGTTCTTACTGTTAATTTGTTGATTAATTTGTTTAATGAGTCATTGACATACAAGGTGCCAGGCGCAGACCCTGGTGCTCAGTAAGCAGTGCACAGTGTTAGCTGTCACCTCCACCATCCTCCTCGTCATCACTGCTTTATTTCTTACTTACTTCGAGGCCGGGTAAGTGTCTCATCTGTGTCAGGAACCTTGCTAGGGTTGGGGTTCAGTGGTGAAAATCACAGTTCTTGGCCCGAAGTGTGGGGGTGGAGCCCGCTGTAAGTGAGGGGTGACGGTACACAGTCGGTCCCTGACTTGCTGGAGGTTGTCTGAAGGCAGTGGGAGAGACCACCACGTGGCTTAGTCAGCAGGTGAGGTTGTCTGAAGGTTCCCAGAGGGGGCAGTGTTTGAGCCAAAACTTGGTGCATGGAAACAAATATCTCAAACTAAGAAGCAGAGGGGAACGCAACCCATACTAAAGAATAGAATGACCAAAAGCTGAGAGCACTGCATATTCCAGGAATGGCAAGTCGTTCAGTGTTGCTGAGTGTAAAGTGTGAGGCAAGGAGTGACAAGGGAGCGTTTGAGGCCAAAGAAGCAGGAATGTCTGCTATTTAGTTCCGAGTATTTCCTGAGCTCCCAGCTCTGTGCCAGGCACTACTCTAGGTAGTAGCCTTCCATCCTTTATGGAGCGTTCATTACAGTTGGGGAAACCGACAAATAAATGTCTGTAATGGCAGGGAGGCAAATGCTAATGGCCCCGTGTGCCAAATAAAGGTGCTTTGATGTTATCCTGCTGACCGTGAGGAGCTTTAACAGCAAACGAGGAGATATGAGAAGAGATGGGATTTTTGTAGGAAAGGTCATGTGGAAGGGAGGTTGGGGTAGGTAGAGGTCAGGATACCCATACACATGCTAGATTAGTGTTCCAGGTGACCTAGGGCAGTGACAGTGCAGCCAGGAGGGGTTTTATATGAGACATACTTAGGAGCTAAAACTCACAGGATGGTGACTGATGGTATGGGTGATGCTTGGGGCCTTCGTGGGCTGAACATCGAGGGAAGAACATTGTGACCTCAGGTTTCGTTCAGTTAGGTTGGAGGTACCTTAGGACAGAGGTCAAAAGTTTTCTTTTTCTAATCAAATGCAGCTTAGTTCCCTCTTCGTTGTCTTTCGAGCTGTCTGCATTTTTGGCTCTCGGTGTTTTATTGTTTGCGTAAAGCTTTCTGTATTTAATTACATAGCTATATAGATGAAATTGTCAAGATTTGAGCAAAAATTCTTAGTTCTCTGGGAGAGGAATTAACATGAGTTTCATAAAGGATATTTCTGTTCTCAGATGGCATAAAGAATTATACCTGCAGAGCCCTGTTTCAGGCAAGTCCTAGAGAGAGGACTCTTTAGAGTAAGCAGCGTGAGTAAAAAATGGAAACGCAGAAGACAACAAAAACCTCAACGCCAGAAGACCCAAGTAATCCAGTTAAAAAATGGGCGGGAGACATGAGCAGACGTTTCACCAAAGACGTTCAGTGGCCAACAGACACCTAAAAAATGCTCAGCATCACTCATCACCAGAGAAAATGTAAATCAGAACCACACTGTGACATCCCCTCACCCCCTGGCAGAAGGGCTAAAATAAAAAACACAAGAAACACCAAGTGCTGGCGAGGATGTGGAGAAAAAGGAACCCTCATGCCCTGTTGGTGGGAGTGCAAACTGGTGCAGCCACTGTGGAAGACAGTACGGAGATTCCTCAAAAAATAAAAACAGAACTACCATATGATCCCATAATCACACTACTGTGTGTTAGTACCCACTACTACTACCCAAAGAATATGAAAACACTAATTTGAAAAGATACATGCACCCCTATGTTAATAGCAGCATTGTTTGCAATAGCCAAAATATAGAAGCTGTCCTGCAGTAGATGAATGAATGAAGAAGTGGGGTACACACACACACACACACACACACACACACGAATATTACTCAACCACAAAAAAGAATGAAGTCTTGCCATTTGCAACAACATGCATGGATCTAGAAGGTCTGATGCTAAGTGAAGTAAGTCAGAAAGACAACACATGATTTCACTCACATGTAGAATTTAGAAACAAAACTAACAAAGAAAAACGGAGACCAGCCAAAAACAGTCTTAACTCGAGAACAAACTGAAGGTTACCCGGCGGGGGGGGGGGGGGGGGGCCGTGAAATAGGTGAAGGGCATTAAGGAGTATACTTGTGATGAGCACTGGCGGATGTGTGTAAGTGTTGAGTAACTATATTGTACACCTGAAACTTATGTATATAAAACACTGTGTTTACTGGAATTAAAATTATGTATAAACACACAGAGGACACGCTGTAGCAGAGCATGTAGGCCACATATATGCATGTTCTGAACAGCGTACTCAACCAGAAGTTGATTTTAAAGTTACGTATAGTATTTGCTGTTTGTTGTGACGATGGCAAGGCCTGAAGGGATTCTTAGACTGTCTCAATAAGTAAAATTTTGTTATGTTTTTAATTGTTTAAACATGGTTCATTTTATAGAGTCAACTTCCACAGAGTCTAAAGCCACTTTGGCTACTTGCTGATAATTATTTCTGGGATAATCTCCCCACAGTAGCACCATGGGCTGACTCTTCTGGGGTGATTTCTGACCCACTGAGGTGCTAGAGCTCGTCTTGTGAAACTTAGAAGTTTTCACTAAAGTGCAGCATTGAATGGCTCTGTGCGTGAGTGGGTCCCTGTGGACGTGAGAAAAATTACTAACTTTAGCTAACTAAGAAGGTGTTATTGAAGCAGGAGGAGCCCATGAGGATCTCTGGCGATCAAAACGTTCCAGAAGGGAAGCATTTAGGAAGGGAAGCATTTAGGAAGCATCCAGAAGGGAAGCTAGGAAGTAAGGACCTTCCTAGCTTTTGAGAAAGAAGGAAAAAAAGATGCTGACCAGCTGTCAACTCTGGTTCTATAAATTTCTACATCGTATGCGGCACTTTCCCGTTTCTAGAACCCGCTGGAAACAAAGTTCACTGGCAGACAGAAGGCTTTCTGCCGTGATGGCACAAATGAGCGCCTTAGGAGCTGTGTCTGTAAACACCGGAGGTGATCTGAGGGTAAGCTGGGGGGACCGAGACAGGAAAACTGCACCCGATAGTTGAGGCTGCCCCCCGGCAGACGTCTCCCAGGGGGAGCTTACCTGGTGGAAGCCGAATCGGACTTTCTGTCAGGCCTCCTGAAAACCACTTAGAGTGACATCCCTCATTTCTTGAGAACCATTTGGGGGCTCCAGGTGTTGTGGGGTGCTTTACAAGTCTCAGCCTTCAGCCTCCCGGCGATGCTGCCAGGAAAGTTCTGCCCTCCTGGTTTTCCAGCCGAAGAAACTGGGGCTCACTCAGAGTGGCTGACTTACCTCCCCGAGGTCACCCAGCTAGCGGCGCTGCAGCCGGACTCGGACCCTCACGGGCTCTGTTCTGCCCCTGCCGGAACCTCCCTGACACCCGCAGGGCCCCCACCTCACCCCCCAGAGCCGCGGCCCCACATGTGCGCGTGGAGAGGGTCGGGGACCCCGCGTGTGCTTGGCAGAGAGAGGAGGCCCTGAGTCCCCGCGGCTGGGTGCGTGTGGCCAGCGGCGCCTCCGGGCCCTCCCGAGCCTTGGGGGGGGAGAGGGGAGGCTCCGTTCTGCCCGCGGGCTTGGCGACCTCCCTGCCCTCGCTGCCTGCGGCCACCCTGGGGGTGAGAAGAACCTCTGGCTCAGTAGGCTCAGACTCAGGCTGGCAGCGCCCCCTCCAGGAGGTGCCCCGATCTGCGCTTTCCTGCGCCCGGCTCTCCGCAGTCTCCCTCTGCGTGTGGAAAGAACTTCAGTGATTTTCACAAAGAGGGAGCTTAGAGCAGTAGAGAGGCACCTGTATACTTCTGTGCTTTGTCCGCTACCCATGCTTTTTCTTTCAGCTTCCTCAGATCTTTGCATTGTAATCTAGGCATGGGCGGGGGGAGGTGTTCCCAGATACCTGTCACCCTCCCCAGGCGAGGCAGAAGTCCTTGTCATTTTTTCATTCCTGTCAGCGTTAAAGAGATGATAGTGAGCACCATCCTGCCTATATTACGCGGTGGTTTTGGCGACCCAGGCAAAGCTTGATGTAAACGTGCTTCACACACAGCGAACTGGTAGAAACAATCCGTTGTTGTCATTGCTGCAGTTGGTCATGGAGGTTAATTTTATTCAGTGTAAAAGTTAACCAGTGACCTTCCCACCCAGAGGGTAGAAATCGATTTTACCTCGATTTCCTCTTGTGCTGTCAGCTCTTTCTTGTGAGGCCAGGGTGGTGGGCGGTTGGCAGCTGGGGACAGATCGAGGCCTCCAAGTATTTTAATGTCACAGTCCCTCCTACCTTTCAATATCTGTCAGCTTATTTTAGATTAAAATAATATGGAAGGGCACCTGGGTGGCTCATTGGGTTAAGTGTCCAGCTTCAGCTCAGGTCATCTTGAGGTTCATGGGTTTGAGCCCTGCATTGAGCTCTGTGTTGACAGCTCAGAGCCTGGAGCCTGGTTCAGATTGTCTGTCTCCTTCTCTCTCTGCCCTCCCCTGCCTGTGCTCTGTCTCCGTGTCTCAAAAATAAATAAACATTAAAATTTTTAAAAAATCCTCTTATAAGTATGCTCAAAGGGAGGGAACCACATTAAGAAATATAGGGGTCTTAAAGAAAATAGTAAAAGGTAGTAATAGAGAACATATTTACTTGAGATTTCAGTGAAAATGCATATATATGTATATATTTTTACATTTTCAATTACGATGAAATACACATAAAATTCACCATCTTAACCATTATTAAGTCTATGATTCTGTAGCATTAGCTATATTCACACTGTTGTGCACCAATCTCCAGAAGTTTCTCATCAGGCAAAACTGAAACTCTATACCCGTTAAACAACCCCCCACGGCCCCCTCCCTCAGGCCCTGGGCAAGCACTATTGTAATTGGAGATCATTTTGAATGTTAGTAGTTGCACAACAAGAAAGTGAATTTTTTCCTCCCATTATAATAAATGAAATAAAGCAAATGTCTAACAACTACAAAGCTTAATCTGTATTTTTTGAGGAATTATTGCTATTCATGAGGCAGTTTTTTCTCTGGATGGACACATACTTTGTGATGATTGAAGTTTCTTTGTAACACACGGACTGAGCTTCATTGCAGAAAATGAGGAGACATTTTCAGATGTCTAATAAGCATAAGAGATTCTCTGACTACAATACTGTGTTGGTTAAAAGAAGGTAAAGGGGTTGCAGAATTATGGCCTCTTCTGAGTTTTCAGTCTCTTACACACGGAGCTCAGACTCGTGACACAGATTTGAGGTGAGTATTATCTGGACATCAGTGTTTTGTGTGTGATCTCTTGGGATTGTTTTTGTCCCCCCCCCCCCACAGCATGAACAGACTGAACACGCTGCCTCGAGGATTTGGCTCTCTCCCAGCTCTTGAGGTCCTTGATTTGACTTACAACAACTTGAATGAAAATTCTCTTCCTGGAAACTTCTTCTACCTTAGTAAGAAACTTTTAATTCTATAAATCTCCTTAAAATGGTACTTGGCGTTCTGCAAGTGAAATTTATTTGCCAGGGTCCAAACTCCAAGAGAAATTATTGGATGTATATATTTTTTTCTTCACACATTTCTTTTGAATAATCCTTCATAGCTCAGCAGTCTGTATGTTTGATATATAGTTAGCTGACACCATTGCGCTCAAGTGGACCTAGTAATGTCATATTAACTTCCGGATAGAGATGATGTACCTAAATGAGATTGAGTCTCTCATTTAGCTAAAGAACTTGACTTTCTTCTTAAAAAGCATGTAGAAAAAATATGTATATATACATATATATGTGTATATATATAATAATAAATGTGCCCTCCCATGTTGCAGTTAACTCTTTGTAAGCTATTTCTCCAAAGATATTTCAACCAGTTTTATATAAAAATACCCATTAATCAGCTGCTAACGGAAGTTCTTAAGCCTCTTAAAAAAAACCCTCCATGATGTGCTCTATTTTGTCTCTAGAATACAGTCAAACATCAAGACCTCGTCATAGATAAATACACTTTACTTTTCGACTGTATTCTAGGCAAGCAAATTTCTTGCTGCAGATACTCGTAAAAATGAGGAAAAACTGGTTTTTCTGAGAACCCACAAAATATTTAGGAAAGATTTGCCTTCCTTAAATGAGTGTTCTGCTTCTCCAAATAGTGACACGTATGGCATCCAGAGATTCTGAATTTTCTGAGCTAGTCTCCAGAACTTCATTTATAACCTTATGCATATTCTCTCCCCCAGATTTTCCCAAGCACATGATGAAGCCAATTCTAAAATATTTTCTTGGGCCAGGAAGGAGATTTTGTTGTGTATATTAACACAGAGTTCTGTCGAATTTTAAAACATTCGAATGTAATTGAATACCTGTAAGCAAACAAAACAGACCTCTGATTATACTTCTCCTTTTCGGTCAGGGATAAAAAAAATGCCTTAGAATTTTCTCCTTTGGTTGTTCGGGGTTGTATAATAGCGTGAACAGATTTCTGACCTTTGATATTCTGCCTGAGTTAGGGTTTCTCTATTTGTAAACTCCATGTCGTTATATTAGCTCCTTTGTCCTCATTTATTTTTGTCCTGAAGGCTAGAGAAACAATTAATAATAATTAGCACGATTATGGAAACAATGAACTGTTATTAAGGTCTTCCTCACCGGAAAGCCTTTTAGCTACTTATTTTTAATGTTGTTGCATTTACACGACAGAGCCCTTTGGCCTGAAGCGTTGAGTTGATACCTTTCCCGGTGGTTTTCTTTGTTTCACTTCAGATGCAGAGCATAAATGTGAATGGGAAATAGAGAAGAAAAATCTCTCTCTCATTGTTGAAAGCGTCTTGAAACCCTGTGCCCAAAACTGCCGACGCCCACGGTTGTTAATTGTGTCAGTCCTCTTGGATATAGATGTTTTCCTGAACACACCGGCCCCACAATAAGCCAGTAAATCTAAGTTTGACCTGCTGCTTCTTATTGGGAGCGCTAGGTGTGTCACAGGCTTTTCACCGAGCCGGGGTTATTAATCAAAGCTGACTCCCTCGTATTGATCAGACCTCAAACGGTTGGGTTCCATGCCGCCCTGTTTATATATCGCTGTTTAATTCGCAGCCACCCTGCGTGCACTCTATCTAAGTGACAACGATTTTGAAATCCTGCCGCCAGATATCGGGAAGCTCACAAAGTTGCAGATAGTAAGTAATTTATCTAAATTCTTGGAAAATCAGTTCACTTCTGCAGCCCTTGTAGGAGTAGAATCAAGTCAGTTTGAGCAGGGGTGAGGTTTGTTTTGCAGGAATCAGCCACCACTCCCGATTCCGTGTGGCATTCGTCTGCAGGCCCTTGTACATAAATGGAAAGGATGGAGCCTTCAAAGAAGAGAGGGCATGGGGGGCATGGGGCAGCACAGGAGTTTCTGTTGAGCGCCTCTCTACATGAAAACCGTTTTTGACGACCCCTTGTTTTCTTGTATTTAGCTCAGCCTTAGGGATAACGACCTGATCTCGCTGCCTAAAGAAATCGGGGAGCTTACTCAGCTTAAGGAACTCCACATTCAGGGGAACCGCCTGACCGTTCTGCCCCCAGAACTAGGTAAGGTTGCTGAGGAATGATCTCAGTTCGGCGTTGAATTAGTAACAGTGATCCCATTGTGGCAGTTCTGAGCAACCCTCCCTCCTCCTGGCAGGCCCCTCCTCCGAGGTGCTCCTTCTGATAGTTTCTAGAAGCATTTGTCCTTGACCAGGGTTGAGCTGTTGCAGGTCTGTCCGGTCGTGCCCCTCTGTTCAGCAGCCACTGCACTCACGGTCTGAGAAACTGCTGATGAAAATAACCCAGCTCGGCCCCTGCGCGGGGTCGGGGAAAACAGCCCAACAATAGGCATAACGGTCTTCTCTATGCTTCTCCTTTGCTGGCTGATGTTTTTAACAATTAAAAAAAAATTTTTTTTTTAACATTTATTCATTTTTGAGAGACAGCACAGACCAGTGGGGCAGAGAGAGGGGGAGACACAGAATCCGAAGCAGGCTCCTGGCTCTGAGCTTGACGTCAGCACAGAGCCCAATGTGGAGCTCACACTCACGAGCTGTGAGATCATGACCTGAGCCCGGGTTGGATGCCTAACTGACTGAGCCCCCCAGGCACCCTAGCAGTTTTTTAACCAAGCCACCACTTTTTTTTTTTTAATCTCTTAGTTTTTAATTTTAGTCCCTTGGAAACTTTTGCCCCATAAAGCACTTGTTAGAGCTGCATGAAAATACCTTTTGCCATCATGCATTTGGTCCTCGCCGGACCCCGTTTCCAGTGAGAACTGTTAAATAGCTTCTGGCTGAGAATTCCCTAGTCCAGCTCCTGTGACAGGTGAGTCCTAGTCCTCTGCCTGCTCGTTACCCCGGCCCAGGGTGGGCTTATGATGTCCCTCGGAAACCATGTCCAAACCTGCTACGCTATTGCTGACGTTATTCTGCCCTTCTGGAAAGGTTCTGTGAGTTTACTTCCCTTTTCTTTTGCAGACCCTCCATGTTCTCTCACTTCTTCAACCCATTCAACTGCATTTTTGCTCAAACAATATTTGCTTTTCTGCTCCAGAATCCTGTAATTAAAAACACACACACACACACACACTTAACCCAGAGTTCTTGGAGCTAGAACCTCAAGTGAATCTGACGTTTTGAAAGAATGTAAGCTCCGTGAGAGCAGGGTGGGGTTTTATATTCGCCACCTCCTGGATTCCCCGTGCCTGCCCTGTGCTGGGCTTAAGCGTGCTGCTCAAGGAATGGGTCCTGAGTGAGTTACTGAAGTGAGGACTCACACTGCAGGGTGCCGGGAAGGCCACGCAAGAGGCACGCTTGGACCTGCCCAGAGCCGTGCTCCCCGTATGGAAGCCACAAGCCACGTTTCCAGTGCTCGGTGCCCGTGTACGGCTTGTGGCTGCCCCGCGGGAAGGCACAGGTACAGAGCATTTCCGCCAGCCAGGGGTTCTGTGGGCGGCGCGGCTCTGAAGGAAGAGCATTCCCATGATTTCATGCAACGGAGGGAAGTTAAGTTTCAGGCCCGCTGCCCCGTCTCCTCCGGCAACTTTGTCCTTGTAAAAGCTCTGGAGGAATCTGTGCTGTTTTCAGGGGCTGAGAAGTAGCTCAGCAAGTGGCCCTCAGGGAGTTACATGTTGTCACGTGTCCCCTTAGGAACAGGCTGCGGGACCAAGAACGGATTGTTGCGCACATTTTTAAGGTGAAAAGACACCTTGTCAAAAGAAAGGGTTTGTACAGTGACTGTTAACTAGAGGTGGAGGCGTTAGTGATACCTGGGGGCTTTTGCACAGTGCGCGTACTGCTCCCTCCCTGGCCTGCTGTATCAAAATCCCCCTGCAGGAGGCGCATTCTCGTGCTCCCGGAAAAGCCTGTCCCTCCCCACCCCACCCCCAGCTTCTGGAGTGCGTTCTCAGTTAGCGTGATTAGGAGTAATAGTGTGTGTGTGTGTGTGTGTGTGTGTGTGTGTGTGTGTATGTGTGTGTTTTAATGTGCTTTGTTATTTTATTTCATTTTTCAAGCAGAGAAGCCAGCGAGGGCATCGATCAATGATTTCTGTCAGATACTACTTTGTTAGAAAAATAAACCCAAGTGGATACCTGTGTCCTTACGTATTTTGAAATCTTAACACACATTGCTTATCCTGTTTAAATATCTTGTTTAAAATTTAGTCCTATTTATGTAACATTGCTGTTAAGCTCTCCAGTAACAATTCATATGTACATAAAACTTAATCCCAACATCTGCACCGTGGCAGCTTTCCCTAATGACAGGCAGATACTTAACTGGAAATAAATGATAACCCCCTGGGAGTTTTGTTACAGATCGAAACTAAAGATGAAGACAGATGTATTCTTTATTTTTGAATAGTGGGGTTTTTTTGGTCAAGAATAATATAATACATAGTAACATAATAATAGCTGTTACAATATCCGGTACACCTTAGGGTGCTGTGACAAGTGCTTTTCCTACCCTGGCTCCTGGAATTGTCATAAGACTTATAAGCTGACTTTTTAGAGGTAAGGAGACTGAAGCTTAGCGATGTCCCTAGGGGCACAGCTAACGAGTCACGGAGGCTTGATTTGAACCGTGTCAGCCTCTCCTCCAGGTCCACATTCCTAACTACTGTGGTGTTCGTTTCCATTCACGCCCGTAAAGTGATTCCCAGAAAGCGATCTCCAAGTAGGGGCAAAGCGCAGCACTGGCTGGCTTCCCCGAGTGGCAGGAGAAGAGCTGCCATCCTGTGGCCGTGGGACGGCCAGCCTGGCGGGGGTGTACACAGCAGGTCCATAATACACTGCAGAGCGCAGAGACATGGCGTCTGTGAAACAGTGCTCTTCGGATAGGACCTTCCAAGCCGCATTGTCCCCGGGGTCCTCCCCGCCCTCCTGCCCTCCTCCTGTCCCCGTAGACATTCAGTCGCAGCGGAAATGTCTTTGGTTTGGCTTGTCCTTAGTAGCTAAGATGATTGCCTGGAGTCACTCTGGCCTGCTGATGAGCGGCGCTGGGGACTGATGTGCTTGAAATGTATTGTATCTGTCCCTGCAGCATCCACTGGGTGCTCGGTAAAGTGTGGTCATGCTCTCTGCCCTGTACGTTCATATTGTACGTATCGGAATAAGCGAGGCAGCTGCTTTTGAGATTTCTGTGAAATTTCCTTTAAACATAAATTTGGAGGTGGGGCGCCTGGGTGGCTCATTTGGTTAAGTGTCCAACTCTAGGATTCAGCTCAGGTCATGATCTCATGGTTTCAGGAGCTCAGGCCCGATGTTGGGCTCTGTACTATGGTATGAAGCCTGCGTAGGGTTCTCTCGCTCTCCTGTCTTTACTTCTCTCCCACTCACACTGTTTGTCTCAAAATAAATAAATTTTAAAGAAGATAAACATAAATTTGGAGTTTAACGACTTGAAGCTATTGGTAAGAGTCTTGGAACCAAGCAGTGGAATCCAGGTGAGTTCTGACTTGTCAGGTCGAAGAATGTTCCGGGCACAGCCAAGTCAAGTGAGGAGTTTGGTTGGAATTTTTTCTGTGTCATTCTATTACTTTCCTTTTGTTGGGAATCCCTGAGTAAGTTACTTTACCTGCTGTGTCTGATTCCTAGAAAAGGGTACCCTTGATTTCATGTTGGTCCATATACCTATAGCAAATTAGAGAAAAATTAGGTCTGTCATTCACCCATTCAGACATTTATTAGATTCCTACTTAAAGCCAGGTCGTGTCTCCAAGGAACCCACTTTCCAATAAAGTCAAATTCACTTACTCATCAGCTGTTTATTGGGCCCCTGTTTCATGCTTATTTCTTGGAGACAGGACAAGGGACACCCCACCATCCTGCAGTGGGAGAGGGCAGATGAGTGGAGGGATGGATAGCAAATCAGATAGTAAATGCTTTGTGAAAAAAATAAGCACGGAAGGGAATGTCTAGATGGGAGTGGGAGCAATATCACTCTGCTGACCAGAGTCAGCAGAGAAGGGCTTACCCAGAAGTTGGTATGATTTAAGCAGAGACCTAAACAAGGGAGGGGACTTCCTGGCAGTGGGAACAGGAAGTGCAGACATCCTGATGTGGGTTGTGTGTTGAGGAATAACAGGGGCAGATACAGTACACTTCAAGTGCATCAGCCCCTAGCGCTCCCGAGGGGAGGGTGGGGTGTGGGGAGCTCAGTTAGGAAGTGGGGACAAGATCCCATGAGAATTGATGGGCACTGTAAGGATTTTGGCTTTTGCTCTGAGTGAGGTGGTGTGGCAGCCTGAATAATGGCCCCAAAGATGCCCCAGTCCCTGGGCATCTGTCACCTTGCATGGTAAACGGACTTTGCCAATGTGATTTAGAATCTTGAGGTGGAGAGATGATCCTGGATTTCCAAGGTGAGCCCAGTGCAATCACACGAGCTTTAGAAGAGGAAACAGTAGGGTCAGAGACAGCAGTCCGCAGTCGAAGATGTGATGACCGAGGAGGTTGGAGTGGTGTGTCGTGGAAGGGAGCTTGAGCCAGGGAATCCAGGTAGCTTCTGGAAGCTGAGGAAAGCAGGGCAGTGGGTTTTCTTCTGAAGTCTCCAGAAGGAATGCAGCCTTTCTCCATCCAGATGGTCATAACGGTCACATTCTGAGTCTGTTTCAAAGGCAGAATGAACAGGACTCGGTGATGAGCTGGATAAGGGGAGAGTGGCAGTTGACTGTGAGGTTTCCGACCCAAGGAGCTAAAAGGATGGGAAAGATAACGGGAAGGATTGGGGAGGAGACGTGGGGAGGAAAGGAGGTAGTCATTAGCCGAGTTGTGGGTATCTTAAGCTCGAGATGCCTTTTTGGATGTCTGATCGGGAGGGCAGCTGGGTAGTGCGATCTGAAGTGGGAGGTGAGGTCTGTGCTAATAGATAATGTGTGGCATTATGAATATAACTGTAGTGCCCCCGAGTGGACGCGACTCCGTGGGAGGGACTGTAGGAGGTAGAGCCTGGGAGCATCCTGGTTCCTAGACACTAGAGCCGGAAGGACTGGGGACCTTTGTGTGTCTGGCTGGTCCCAGGGCAGGTGTGTGTGGTCGGGCCAGGGACTGCGGCCTCCCT